AGCACACAATTCCAATGGTTCATAGTAAATATTAAAATCAATCAGCAAGAAATGATCTCACAGAAACGTCAACAAGGAAAATCGATAGATCATCGGCGGCGGCTTAAGTCACAGTGACCTTCGGCTTCTTTTGCTTCTCCTTCTTCTTCTCATCTGCAGCTCCATTCTGCATGGCTCCACCACCATCACCGCCTTAGCTTCCAAATCGCTATCATCGTCATTGGAACGATTCCTCACGGCTGATCTCACAGGAGCATCGTCGTTAGCATTCATCGCGGCATACTAAGCTTCAATTTTCCGGCGGCGATCCTCGGCATGCTTCTCCAACGACTTGAACACATTGTCGGTATTGGATGCGCCATATCCATTGGTGGCCGTGATCCTCGAGGAATTTAAGCAATTTTCAGCTTATTTTTAACACTCAAAATGACCAATTTACCCCCCTAATATTTAATTGAAAATGACAAAACGTATTTCCGGCCAATTTCCACAGGTGATTTGGCTGGAAGGACCAAATCTGTTAAAAAAAATATAGTTAAAGGACTAAATTGTTAGTTTTAAAAGTCACGGACTAAAATTAACACGCTCCCTATAATCATAGGACCAAAAGTGTAATTTGCTCTTATAATTTTTAATATAGTGGTAAGCCCTTGTAAGAGCTGATGATTGTTGGGTTGTGGCTTGAAGAGCCAAGTTGAGCTGTGTCCAGTATTTTGCCATCGAAACATTACTCTTATTGAGTCCAACTATCCTGTTATTGAAACGTGACGCACTGCTTTCAAATATAAGCTAAGCTAGGAAGATAAAGTTTCGCTTTCGCTCCTAAATATAACTTTTGACGTAGTAATAAATGTTTGATCTTGATACATCCTATATTCCTAAAATATTTAAAAATTTATAAAAATAATTATTTCTAAAATATTGGATAATTATTATTTACAATAATTTAAATATCTAAAATCTAAATAAATTTAAAATTTTAATATAAAATTTTAATATTAGACACCTATTTTTTTACACAGCGCGCATAAAAAATACTAGTTAATTTAAATAAGACCTCACCAAGTCAACGATTCCATGATCAAGAGGTGATGAGTTTAGTTATCACCTACAAAAAGAACATATTGATTGAATTTGACTTATTATGTATCAAGAACATATGGAGTGAAACTCATTTTTAAAAAAGAGAGAGTATTGATGATTTGATGGATACGCAGCATAGTCAAATGTATATATTTAAATAAAAAATTAATACCTTTTTTTTATGCTTCTGGCTCTATTACAATGTAGTATCTGTTCATATACTTTCTCAATCTTCCAAATAGAAGTCCAATCGGGTATCATTAGACCACATAGTCTTGATTTTAATACCTATTATAAATCATTATAATTGATTGTACTATCAATAAGACCTCACCAAGTCAACGATTCCATGATCAAGAGGTAATGAGGGTTTTTTTTTTTTTTTTTTTGAAAGGAAGAGGTAATGAGTACTAAAAGAACAAGTGGATTGAATAATTTGACTCTATTATGTACTCCGTATATATTAATTTATTTCGTCCCAATTATTTGTGATTTAATGAGATGATATGAATTGCCGATTATATTGTTATGGGCTACACTTGTCTGAGACCGTCTCACAGATCTTTATCTGTAGGACGTGTCAAGTAATATGAAAATGTAATACTTATACTGAAAAGTGTAATACTAATTAGGAATAACGAGTTTATTAGTTATAAAATAAAATGTAATACTTTTGAGGATAAATGTAATAATTTTATATTTTGAGGTAAAAGTATTAATTTTTTAATAAAAATTATTACATTTTCACTTATAAGTAATTTTGACAAATGTTTGTTACTTATATGTTGGAGTTTTAAGCATAAAATGACATTCAAGTGGCTATTTTGTAGTACAAAAATATGTGAGGTCTACTTCTGATTTGGGTTGGTCAAAGTAGATTCGGATTCTTCACAGCGAAATGGAGAGATTGATATCAATTTCTCGAATTCCAAAATGATTTTCATGCAAGAGGGGGTTCAAACTCCTGCAGACATCTTTTAAAGAATAAGAGTGCACAATCATTCACGCCAACAAAATTGGTTATTGTTAATGTCATTATTAAATGTTGTTAATGCCATTGTTAAATGTTATTTGTTCCATGTTTACCTACAAATAGCCTTGTGTCAGTATATATAATATATACGTTTTTAAAAAACTATTTAATACCTATTATTTTAAAGCATCATAGTTGATTGTACTATCAATAAGACCTAACCAAGTCAACGATTCCATGATCTAGAGGTGATGAGTTAGTTCTCACCTTCCAAGAGAACAAGTGGCCACACTTGTGTGTATAATTTAACTTTATTATGTATATATTAATTTGGCTTTATTATGTACGGAGTACATATTAATTTATTTCATCCCAATTATTTGTCGTTTAATGCTATGATATGAATTACAGATTATTTGGCTTTGGGTCACACTTGTGTGAGACGTCACACAGATCTTTATTCGTGAGACGGGTCGGGGTCAATATGAAAATGTAATACTTATATTAGAAAATGTAATGCTAATTAGGAATAAAGAGTTTGTTATAACATTTTGATGTAAAGTATATTATATTTTTATTCAAAAGTATTATACTTTCCCATATAATTAGTAATAAACATTTTATTTTTTATTAGTATTATATTTTCCATTATAAGTATTACATTTGATATTCACCCGACCCGTCTCAAGAACAAAAATCCGTGAGACGGTCTCACACAAATTTTTGCCTTTGACTATTTGTTATTACCATACAATGAAATATGTTTATTTTTTTTTAGAGGTATTTAAAATGTTTATTACTTAATGTGGGCGGCGGCTTAGAGAGTCTAGTCCAGCATTCTGGAATCGAAACGTGGTGCTAATTGCTACACAAATATATATAATGGGTTAAATTTATGCATTCGCTACTAATTATAACTTTTGGTGTAGTGGTCAGCTCTTGTCAAGAGGGAGATTACTGGGATGTGGCTCGGAGAGCCGATCGAGCCGAATTGTGTCCAGCATTCTGCCATCGAAAACATTACTCTTATTGAGTCTAACATCCTGTCATTGAAACGTAATCCATTGATACGCAAATATAAGGAAAATAAAGTTGTGCTTTCGCTACTAATAACTTTTGACGTAGTAATAACTATTAAGTATTTGATCCTGATACTTCCTAATTCCTAAAATATTTTTTAAAAAGCAAAATATTAATTTTAAGTAAATAAATATTTTTGTAATTAAATAATAATTTATTTTTAATTTTCATAAATAATATTAACAGTAAAATATTTAAATAATAAAAATAAATAAATAATGCCCCACCTTCAAATAACTTTTGGTAAGGTGAAGCTGAATGCTTGAAAGCTAGTTTGCAAATAGTTTTTAAATGTTTGAAATTTAAGTGGCATTAAAAAAAAAAAAAAAAAAAAAAAAAAAAAGAAGAAGAAGAAGAAGAAGATTGCCATTTGTGTTTTATCAATTTGTTCTCATTTTAATTAAAAGGCCCACTATCATTTAATTAGTTGATGACATCTGGTCAACATTTCAAATATATTAGTCCTAGTTTCACATGTTGGTGAGTATTTCAAAAAATAATAATAATAATAAAAGTAAAAATAAAAAATTAAAAGGCCAACTCTTTGTGAAAAGGGCAAATTATATCATGCACCGTGGTGCATAATCGATTATGCACCGATATCAAAACGATGTCATTTTGTTTAATGAAAAGAAACGGTATCCGTCTCCTGCCGTTTCGCATCCTTCCACAAAAAGTAACTTTATTATTTAGTTTCATTTTGTATACACTGCAGTTTCAATTCAACACAACTACAGTTTCATTTTGATATAACTACAGTTTCATTTGATATTTATAGACTCAAATATATGAAAATGTTATTTAATTTTATTTTATATACACTATAGTTTTATTAAAACACAACTACACATGATCATTTTGATATAATTACAGCTTCATTTTACATATACACTCAAATATGTGAAATGTTATTCAGTTTCATTTTATATACACTACAGTTTCATTTCACAACAACTATAGTATCATTTTGATATAACTGCAATTTCATTTGATAATATAAAAATAATATGTGAGACAATATTGGTTTAGATATATTGTAGTGTCACTTTAGATATATTGCAGTATCAGTTGGTAATTAACATACAAAAAAATACGCGCTCAATTAACAGTAACGGCGTGCCATTTCTTTATTTAAAGAAACGGTGATGCACCACGGTCCACGATATAATTAACGTTGTGGAAAGTCTTGCATGTTGTATTATATATAGGGAGGAGCAGTTTCTTGATTTCCATTACCTTCAGCGCAGCCATCTCAAAGCCGATAATATTAACAGTCAAATATTTAAATAATATTAACAGTAAAATATTTAAATAATAAAAATAAATAAAACATGCCCCGCCTTCCCAACTTTTGGTAAGGTGGGGCTAAATGCTTGAAAACTTGCAAATAGTTTTTAAATGTTAGAAATTTAAGTGGCATTAAAAAAACAAACAAGATTGCAAGTTGTGTTTTAATTTATCAATTTGTTGTCATTTCAATTAAAAGACCAACTACCAATTAAATTAAATGTGTGTGAGTATTTCAAAAAAACAAAAAACATTAAAAGTACAAGTTAATACGGGGTCTTTGTCGGAAGTATTGCATGCATGTTGTATTATATATAGAGAGGAGCAGTTTCTTGATTTCCATTACCTTGAACGTAACGCAGCCATCTCAAAGCCGATCGATAATGGAAGTGATGAGGAGCTTACTCATTGCATTATTTCTTCTTTCCTTCACTTCATCCAACGTTGTACTTCAAGTTCTTTCCCAAGATCCTCAAGCAGGTATATATATAATCCATACAAATGTATATATGCATCGATAGATTTTGAATTCATATATCTAAATTAAGTTTGCGACGCCGGCCGGCCTCTCGATCAGGTTTTATAACTTTGAATTGCGGAGGCGAAAACTTTACGGACGAGACGACAGACTTACGTTATACATCAGATTGGAGCTTCATCGGCGACAACAACAACGCCGTACGCAACACTGTGTCGTCTCAATATTTCAAGGATCGTGGTGTGGAATCTGTGGATACACAATGGACAAGTGTCACAAGTTTTCCTAAAGGGATTAGGAATTGTTACACCCTGCGGCCTGCTCAAGGGAAGCTGAATAAGTACCTGATAAGGGCTAGATTCGTGTATGGAAACTACGATGGCAATGCGGACAAACAACTCCCACAATTCGACCTCCACCTTGGGGTCCAGTCCTGGGACACCGTCGTATTCGATCCCAAAGACGATCCTAGTATTGTGGACAAGGAGATCATACATACTCCTTCCTCGGACCTCATACATGTGTGCCTTGTCAACACCGGCCTCGGTACGCCCTTCATCTCCGTCCTCGAGCTACGCCCTCTCAAAATTTCTATGTATCCTGATGTCTCCGCTGGATGGTCCATGATGATGAAAAAACAGCGCTTTGATATCGGCTCCACCTCCCCACTTCTCAGGTAGGTAGCTAATTAACTAGGTAGCCTGGATGCATATATAAGTTTGAACCTCATTTAAGTCCTCCGAATATACTGGTTTTGCCACTTTTAGTTAAACTATCAAATTGATCTGTCCATCACTAATGATCCTTCAACTTTCAAAATTTAACCAATCATGGTCCTTTCAACAGGACACTAAGTGGTTAAATTTTGAAAGTTGAAGTAACATGAATGGTTAACTTGAACCAAGAATGGTTAAATTTGAAAGTCGAAAAAATAAGCAGGATGAATTTGAAAGTTTAGGATTAAACGTGGCAAAATCAGTATACTCGGAGGGTCCAGGTGAGATTAACTCTTATTATATTGATGAACCTAAACTAGCTACGTACGTTGTATGACATTGCGCGCATATTTGTTTTTAGGTACAAGGACGATGTTTTTGACCGCATCTGGTATCCACTTACCGTGGATAATCGAAGTACACTCATAAACACTCCATCAACCGACAACTTAGACACAAACGACGGCTTCTTCAACGTGCCGCCGGGGGTGATGAGAACTGCCATCGTGCCGTCAGATCCAACCCAGCCGTGGTCGCTCAGTTGGTCTACGGACAATTCCTCGGATATGTTCTACATGTGCATGACCTTTGCTGAAATCCAACAACTTAAACCCAACCAAACCCGAGAGTTCAATGTCTACCTTAATGGCGACTTATTCCTTAGCACTCCTATTGTCCCACATTATATGTCCACTATTACGTTGTACACAAAGGTCTCACTAACCAATAGGACTGACTACATTTTTTCCCTCAACAAGACCAAAAAGTCAACGCTTCCTCCCATCATCAACGCCCTTGAGATTTATCATTTAAAACAATTCAATGAACCACAAACCGACGACAATGACGGTACGTACGTAGTACTCCATAATATTTTTTTTATATGTATTTAATTTTATGTAATATGATCTGATCTGGTGTGATTTATTGCGCGCTTTTAATTTGGTCACGTACATTTTAATTTGTGTTTTTGCATAATTAACTTCTTCTTCAATGTGATCATATCAGTTGCGGCAATGTTTGACATCAAGTCAGACTATGGCGTGACCAATAAGAATTGGCAAGGAGACCCTTGCTCACCTGTGTCTGATTCATGGAATGGTCTCAAATGTCACTACACACCCTCCAATCCCCCCAGAATCATATCCATGTATGTATTCTAAGTTTAATTTTAAACGTGCAACATTATTATTATTATTATTATTATTATTATTATTATTATTATTATTATTATTATTATTATTATTATTATTATTATTATTATTATTATAATTATTATTATTATTATTTTGAGTTTTCATTTCCAAAAAAGTGTTATATTTAATCTGTATTTAGGAATTTGTCATCGAGTGGGTTGACCGGGCCAATATCTTCTTACATATTCAACCTTACAATGATACAAGTCCTGTAAGTACTGTACATGCATGTGCAATAATTACTTAAGTTTTTAGTGATTGATTGAAGGAGAAGCATGAAATTAATTATACTCAATTTTATAATATTTTCAGAGATCTATCCAATAACAATTTGAGTGGACCGATACCCGATTTTCTATCTCAACTGCCTTCACTAAGTATTCTGTAAGTACATTATATTACAAACCTTTAAAATTATTATTATTGTTATTATCTTGTTGATATAATATACATACGCTAACAGCATATATGCAAATTGAGGAATACTGGTGGAATTTTGAGTTGTTATTTTCTGGAACTAAATTGCAGAAAATTAAGTGGAAACAACTTCTCAGGGCCTGTGCCGGAAAAACTGCTTGAGAAATCGAAAGAAGGAAACTTAGCATTGAGGTTTAATTAATTTGCTTTAACTTATATACTCCGTATAATTTTGAGGTCAGAGTTAAGTTTGACAAGAGCAGTGATCTAATATATATGACAAAAAGTTGTGTGTGTCTGTCTCACGATGGATCTTATTCCGTTATGTTTTAGACAAATTGAGTCAAGCTAAGATGAAAATACAATACTAATAAAAAAAAATATTAGTAATAAAGTGTTTATTATTTTAAAGAAAAATGTAATACTTTTACATACCTCTTGATTTAAAAGTATTACTTTTTTAAAAAAAAAATATTACACATACATTTCCCCTGACTTTATGAATAACAAATACTTTATTCTTAATTATTATAAGGATTACATTTTCATCTTAATTAACACAACTCGTCTCTTGGATCCTCATAGGAGAGTCATTCAATATATGTATGCATTTAGCATATATCCGAAGTAATATATTATATTATTCTTGTCTGTCAGCATTGAGGGTGTGAATAGCTGCCAGAATAATGGTTCCTGCGACCACAATAAGAAGAAGAAAAACATTGTTGTTTCAGCTTTAGCATCTGTGGCATCTGTACTCCTACTAGGGCTGGCAATAGTCGGCATCCTATTGGTGGTTAAAAGGAGAAAACAAAGAGGTATATATATATATATATATATATATATATATATATATATAATCTTTTACGTAGTTTATATATGTTTCAAAGTTGGTTTACCATAGAATGATAGAATAGAATTTTAATTAATTATTATTTCTATTTAACAAAGTTGGTGCATATATATGGTATGTATCAGAACCAAGATTGGGTGTGGCATCGGAAGCAAGAGTAGTTGATGTTGAATCAAAGATAAATGATGGTTTACAGAGCAAGAATCGGCGATATAATTTCGCAGAAATCATAGAGATTACAAAAAACTTTAAAAGAGTACTTGGTAAAGGAGGGTTTGGAACGGTTTATCATGGCAGGATAGATGGCACCCAAGTTGCAGTTAAGATGCTGTCATCAACCTCAGGCCAAGGTTTCAAGGAGTTTCAATCTGAAGTACGTATATAATATATATTCTGAATTGAAATTAAATATTTATTCATGATTTTATTTATTGAATTTTAAGATTTTGTTTTATATATAAACTTTATTTTACAGGCTAACGTTCTGATGAATGTTCATCATAAAAACTTGACGTCGCTTGTGGGGTACTGTATTGACGGAACAAACATTGGGATCATCTACGAATTCATGGCTAATGGAAACTTACACCAACATCTCTCAGGTTCATCTCATCTCTTAGTTTTTAAATGGAGGTCCGTAATTAAGGGAGACCCCACTTTAACTTGCCAAACTATGAACTTCTAAAGAATTGCACTCCAATTACTACATGATTTCACACTAATATTCTTCAAATAAAAACATTATATTTGGACTTTAAATTAACGTTATTAATTAGTGTATTAAGACTCTAAGTTGATCAATTTTAATTCCTGGTCGCAGCAGGAAACCATAATGTTCTAAGCTTCAGGGATAGGCTCCAAATTGCTGCAGATTCTGCCCAAGGTTAGTATACACTATTACAATCAATTAAACTTCTCTGGCCGGACTTATTCTAATTTGGGTTGTGGGCTTGTTGAAATATATATTGTATAGGATTAGAGTATCTTCACCATGGTTGCAAGCCGCCCGTAGTTCACAGAGATGTCAAATGTACGAATATTCTGCTCAATGAAAAGTTCCAAGCCAAAATAGCTGATTTTGGATTATCGCGAGCTTATCCTGATGAAAATCAGACGCATATCTCAACAGTTATAGCAGGCACTTGGGGATACGTGGATCCTGAGTATTACACATTAAATAAGTTGACCGAGAAGAGCGATGTGTATAGTTTTGGCGTTGTTATTTTGGAAATAATGACAGGGCAACCTGCAATAATAGGGAAAGCCCCTGACCAAGCTCACATTAGTCGTTGGGTGACCTCCATGCTGAAGAATGGGAACATTAAGGACGCAGTTGATCCGAGGTTAATGGGCGAGTTTGACGCTAATTCAGCTTGGAAAACTGTGGAACTGGCACTGGCTTGTGTGTCTCAAGATTCCGACAAAAGACCCACTATGAATGAGGTTGTGAGTGAGTTGAAGGATTGCTTGGCAACGGAGATGGCTAGACATGGCGGCACAACTTCACAGAGGTCCATCGATAATTTGCCCGCTGCAACTATTGACTCAGAATTTGGACCCATGGCAAGGTAGTTGTAGCTCTTCGTCTCATCGTACGTGACTTCCCCCTTCAAACATTGCATTCAAATTATATGTTTCAAATTATTGTAAAATGTCATTAATGAGCTTTTCTTGTCTTGCCCGTGTTTAAAAGATATTTTTTTTTTTTTAAAGTCTGCAAAGTTTGAACAATCTTTAATTTCATGAAAGTTCATATTTAATACATTAAATGTTTATTTTTTGAAGATTTATTTTTTGTGTATACCAAATAATGAATCTTTAGTACATACATATTGCAATATGAATCATACTGCATAGATAATTTGCCATTTATCAATTATCACCTTCCCTCTAAGTTTGACCTCCTTTTGATGGGCTTGACCACCAAGATTAGGTCTAACATTTATTCACTTGCTCAAGGAATTTTTAATCCACAAGGGGCTATATAAAGAAAGAAAAAGTAAAGCTACAACCGAGAATCACCTCGACTAAAGGACGTGAGTCAGTAAAGAAAGAACCAAGAGTCCAAGCTCTTAGAAGTTTACTAGAAAAAGAAAAAAGAAAAAGAATCACAGCCAGGAGTCGCCTCGACTAAGGGACTCGGCCAGAGAAATATAAAAGAAACAGGGCCCGGGACCCTTAGACGTTTCTTAGAAAAAGCCTACAGGGGTCGCCTCGACTGAGGGACTCAGCAAGAAGAGAAGGAAACAAGGGCCCAGACCCTTAGACGTTTCTTAGAAAAAGCCTACAGGGGTCACCTCGACTGAGGGACTCGGCAAGAAAAGAGAGAAACGACGGGGCACTGACCCTAAATAGTTTTTGAGATAGAAAAAGCCTAAAGGGTCGCCTCGACTGAGGGACTCGGCAAGAAGAAAAGGAAACAAGGGCCCAGACCCTTAGACGTTTCCGAGAAAAAACCTACAGGAGTCGCCTCGACTGAGGGACTCGGCAAGAAAAGAGAGAGAAACTAGGGTTCTGACCCCAAGACGTTTCTGAGATAGAAAAAGCCTAAAGGGTCGCCTCGACTGAGGGACTCAGCAAGAAGAGAAGGAAACAAGGGCCCAGACCCTTAGACGTTTCCGAGAAAAGGCCTACAGGAGTCGCCTCGACTGAGGGACTCGGCAAGAAAAGAGAGAGAAACTAGGGTTCCGGCCCCAAGACGTTTCTGAGATAGAAAAAACCTAAAGGGTCGCCTCGACTGAGGGACTCGGCAAGAAGAAAATGAAACAAGGGCCCAAACCCTTAGACGTTTCCGAGAAAAAGCCTACAAGAGTCGCCTCGACTGAGGGACTCGGCAAGAAAAGAGAGAGAAACTAGGGTTCCGACCCCAAGACGTTTCTGAGATAGAAAAAGCCTAAAGGGTCGCCTCGACTGAGGGACTCGGCAAGAAGAGAAGGAAACAAGGGCCCAGACCCTTAGACGTTTTCGAGAAAAAGCCTACAGGAGTCGCCTCGATTGAGGGACTCGGCGAGAAAAGAGGAAAGAAACAAGTGCCAGAACCCTTAGACGTTTCTTAAAGAGAAAAAGCCAAAAGAGTCACCTCGAGCAGGGACTCGGCAAGGGAAATGAAAAAGGAAACAAGGGCATCGACCCTTAGACGTTTCTTAGAAAGAAGAAGCTACCACCGGGAGTCGCCTCGACTGAGGAACTCGGCGAATCAAGGGTCCAAACCCTTAGAAGTTTATTAAGGAAAGAAAAGTTACAGCCGAGATTCACTTCGACGGCTAAAGAAAAAAGGGGCTCGAAGCCCGAGGGTCACATCCACTAAAGCAGTTGGTCATATGGCAAACGAAGAGAAGTCATGAGGATGGAGTCGTTTGGAATCTTGAATAAAGAGTCGGCAAAAATCGAGGCGGCTAATAAAGGGAATTTTGAGGCGAGACAATATACTTTCTCATGCCCTGCTGAGTGCGAGGCATAGAAAAGTGAGGGACTAGTTGATGGTAGGGCTGAGCATCGATCAGATTCGGACGGATTGGATGTCCAATCCGTCCATCCGATCGGATTTCGGATTTCTTTTGTATCCCCCTACCCGTTTATTTTTTTTGGACAGATCCTATCGGATTGCATAGGTTCGGATTTCGGATTGAAATCGGATATAATAAATTAAAATAAAACAAATTCTAAATTCTAAAAATTCTAAAATAGATAAAAGTAATACTGAGTTTCATTACCATAGCGTAGCAACTAGCAAAACATACTACTATACAACTATAACAGTTTCAAACTAAGTTAATAATTACATATTTTCGAATTTCAATGATTATACAAAAAATCATAGACTTGAGCTGTCAGCACCGGTACTCTTCAGTTCTTCTTTCAACAATTCAGCAAAATCAACACTAATCTAGTCATCTAGATAATCTACTCTTCTTCCTGCTAGTATTCAAACTTAAAATGATATTAGTGTTTAGATTTTAGAAAACAGACAATCAGACATTTAGAGTAACAATACTAAGCAATTATTCACTACGCTAAGTGGCTCAGAGTGCATTTTTCCATATCAAGTAAGAATGTGGGCAAATTGCTCTGAATGTGTTATATTAACACATTGGCAACATACCAACTCCATTCCATTTATTCAGACAATAGTGGAAGCTTCATCATAGCCACCAAATAAAACAAATACATTCAAACTGAAAACAAAGCAAGGAAGAGTTATACCATAATTCCAGAGTGCAGAGAAATGGGCAAAATTGGGCTCAACTCATCTAATGTCAGCAACAAATCAATAACAGAAAGTTGCCAAGCCACTTAGAGGCTAAACACCACTTGCAACAACATGAGTACATAACATAATATCAAACTCAGTAAAGAAATAAACACATTGTAAACTGATATTAAAAACATTACAGTGATTGTAGGCAACATTGATGGTATAGTAGATGAAGCTCCAGTGGGCAATTCTGTAAAAGTGAAAAACATAATAAGTAAGAAAGAAAGTGAAAAGGAAATAAACTTAGTAGAATAAAAAAAAAAAAAAAAAAGTAACTAAGAAAGTGATAAGTGTTACCTTTCTCTAATCTTTCAACCTCCTCCAGGTTCTCCTCAACTTGAATTGGCTGATTAGGTGCCCTCAACCAATCTTGAGTACATATTAGTGCTTCCACTATTTTAGGAGTCAATGAACTCCTAAATGGATCAAGTACCCTTCCAGATGTACTAAAACAACTCTCAGAAGCAACTGTGGAGATAGGAACTGCAAGGACATCTCTAGCCATTTTGGAGAGAATAGGAAATCTCTCACTATGGCTCTTCCACCACTTTAACACATCAAATGGGACAGATTCATCATCCTCCACAAGACTTTCACTTAAGTATACTTGCAGCTCAGTTTGCTTACTGCTTCCACTACTTTCTAATCTCTTTTTTTTAAGTTGGCTCTTCAAAGATGACTGAGGCCTACCAACTGTACAAGTAGTAGCCTGGTTAGCCTCAGACTGGACTGCTTGAGTAGAGGATGCTGTCTGGGTAGAACTGAGAGAGTATGTAGCTGCATAGTCATCATATAAAGCAGCCATTGCAGATTGGACCTTGGTAAAACAAGCTTTGTCTTTCTCTTCTCCATACAACTGGACAAATTGATGAGGCATGTACTCCAACTTATCTCTGGGATCCAGAATATTGGCAAAAAAAATGATAGAGTACATTTTTTCTGGATCCCCCAAATATTTGTCAAACTTGTTCCTCATTTGTGTCCCCATTGCCTAAAACAGAAAAAAAAACAATTTATTAGTTAACAGAATTACAGGAAATACAAAAAACAATAAGCAAACAAATTGAAAGATAAATGAGATTACCTTTTCAGTCCCCTGCTCAGAGTTCACCATAGCTTCAAGCATGCAACTAAGATCATAGATCTCAGAGAAGAATGTGTTAGATGTGACATAAAGTGAACCAGAGATCCTCACTGTCATATCATAAAATGCTTTCAATAGCTTCACTAAGCTTTCCACAGAACACCAATCCAAGAAGGTAGGAGCACTCCCCAAGTCAGCAGAATAAGAGGGGTCATTTCTCTCATATGCATCAAACACTACTTGATATTGAATTGCAGTGTTGAGCATAATGTAGGTGCTGTTCCACCTTGTAGGGACATCAAGATGCAAAGCTGATTTAGCTTCCACACCAAACTCTCTGAACTTTGTCAGCCTAGCTGGTGAGTTCCTAACCCATCTCACTGCATCCCTCACCCTCTTAACTGACTCATCTGCAAACTTCAACCCATCTTGGACCACTAAATTGAGGATATGGGCTATGCACCTCATGTGCATGTACTGAACCTTAACAGAAGAAGAACCCCAAGATAACAGTTTACTCTTAAAAAACCCCATAGCTGTGTCATTAGAGGAGGCATTATCCACTGTTACAGTAAACACATTCTTAATTCCTCACTCTAATAAACAACTCTCTAGGGCTTTTGCAATGTACTCCCCCTTATGAGAAGAAACTGGGACAAAGGATATAATTTTTTTTTGAAGCTTCCACTGGTCATCTAAAAAATGTGCAGTAATGCACATATAGTTGATTCTCTGGACAGAAGTCCATGTATCTGTTGTTAGACTAACCCTTTGAGTTCCCACTCTAAAAAACTTCTTAAGGTTTAGCCTCTCATCAAGAAATATTTGGTAGATGTCCCTAGAAATGGTCCACCTAGAAGGGATAAGAAACCTAGGACAAGCAACCAGAATAAACCTCTTGAACCCCTGACCCTCTACAAACCTAAAAGGGAGCTCATCTATGATTATCATCTCACAAAGGGCCCTCCTAATTGCATCTTGATTAAATACCCATGTCCCCAAAACACCCACAGGAGCCTCTGTTCCACCCTCAAAAGTGGACAGAGTGTTGAATGTGAGTAGAGACTACCTTATATCCTTTGAATGGGGATTTTTAAGACAATTGCCCATATGATTTCTTAATGATGATGTGCCATGTTTTTTAGTTTCACAAAAATACTCTTTTGCACAGTAAAGGCATTTGCCTTTAAGCACTTTATGAGTTTCAGGATCTTTGATCTGTTCAAAGTGCTCCCACACTATGGATCTAGACTCTATTTCCTTCCTCTTCTTAACAGCGGAACTTTAGGAGTGGCCATAGGCTGTTGAGCACTTGTCTCAATGCCTAGGGTTTATACTCCTTGTTCATCCACTGTTGAAGATGGAAGAGGTCCAGTTCCACTTCCACTTATATTTTGATTACTCTCCATCTATAAAGATTTATGGATGAGCAAATAGGATTCAAATTTCACACAAGCACACATAAGGCCATACACTGTCACAGTGATATGTATTCCATAATCAGGATTCATGATTCGTGATTCATGAACTCCTCATTTTATGGAGTCCTGATTTTAGGACTTAATTACATATAAGTATATAACACATTAACAAATTCATTCCATAATCAGGAGTCATGATTCATGAATCATGAACTCATCATTTTATGGAAATGGCCACAAATTAGGGCTTAACACTTCCACAGTCAACCATCAACCCATCAACAATTCAAGTATTCAACAACATTCAACAGTATTACAATTTACAAATTCAGTATGCTTCCAACATGGACATCATAAATTCATAAGCACAAATTCATAATATCAATTACAAATTCAGTAGGCTTCCATAGTTCCACACTTCCACCACCACCATACATTTTGAAATAACAAATTTAAGGGTCCTTTAACCATAAACTTACAAACACATATCATAATAAGCACAAATTCATTACATATCAGAATAAGCACAAATTCATCACGTATGTGGAAACCCCTTAAAATTAGGGTTCAATTACAAATTAGGGTGCATGCAACATCATAGAACTAGAACAGAACAGACAAACTCACAAACATACAACAGGAAAATAAGAAAAAAATGACAGAGTTACATTTTACATGTTTTCTCAGAGGTTCCCTCTGAGATCTAGGGCTTCAAGGCGTCAAACTTCCACTTCAACTGCCGTCCGGCTTCTTCCTTCTTGCCGTTTTTCCAGTTTGCACAGAGCCACAGACACTTCCACAAGATTCCCGTCGAACTGTCGAAGACTCGAAGCCTCGAAGGAGTCGAAGGGGAGTTCAGAACCACAGATACTCTCAGACTCTCAGTTGAGACTCAGAGTTCAGACTTCAGAGAATCAGAGATTCACCGGAGAAGGAGATTAAGGAAGAATATTAGATGAGAAGGACTGAAGATCGGATGGGGATGGCTAGAGGAGAGTAGGAGACTAAGGAGATTTCGAGAAGAAGCTCTGGGGAGTGGCCGAGTGGAGAATGAGAGAATGGCAAACCCTAGGTCTACGCAACGTTTTATACTTAGGCCATATTTCGGATCTCGGACGGGTTCGGATGGGATATTTCCTAACCCTACCCGTCCGTCTTTAATTGCCACGTTGCTTGGGGTCGGTTCGGATATGACCCGAACCCGTCGGATTGCATCTCCATTCGGTACGAGTTGGTTCGGGTCGGGCGGGTTCTTCGGGTATTGCACAGCCCTAGTTGATGGGGTGTGAACCCCGTGGGCTCGGGTCTCAAGAAGAAAAGAGATCAAGCCCAGAAGAAAAAGAGAAGCCCAAGAAGAAAATGGAGCAAGCCCAAGAATAGATATGGGCCAAACCGAGGGGTCGGCTCGACCCGGAGGTCGACACAAGTAAGAAGTCGGCTTAAAGTAGCCGTTGGCATTTTAAGAGACCTATTAAATTACCCATTACCAACCAATTATTACCCTACTTACCCACATAGCCAACTAGCCGTTAGCCTCTTTATCAACTAACTTAATACCCATAACCCCCTAATTATCACCCATCAATACCCTACTAAATTTTCCTACGGACACTATTTGGTTGGCTAGCTATAAGAAGGAGAAGAAGAGCACAAGGAAGGGGATCCATTCATTCATCCACACGGGGGAGGACTCTCCCAAGTACTGTCCTAATTATCACCCATCAATACCCTACTAAATTTCCCAACGGACACTATTTGGTTGGCTAGCTATAAGAAGGAGAAGAAGAGCACAAGGAAGGGGATCCATTCATTCATCCACACGGGGGAGGACTCTCCCAAGTACTGTCCTACCACTTACTATTCTTTCATCCCCAAGAAGACTCCATCACTCTCCCAATGAGAATGCACTCTTCCACAACCACTCTCCACTCATCTAAGCGAGAAGACTCTACCACTCTCCCAACAAGAAGATTAAGAGGAAGACTCCCTCTCTATATACAAAGTATAGCTCTTTCCCTACACAATATTTCCAATACTACATGTACAAAATAGCTCTACAATATGTACAAAGGCACCTACAAAATACATAGTGAATTTAGGCTTGACACCGCCCAAAAAGGCCCGTGGTTTTCACCTTCCGGTTTCCACGTACAAAAGCATTGAGTTATATTTGTTCTACTTATTTTTCTATAAGCCGCATGTGAACGGTGAACCCACCAACCACGGTTGTGTTGGACCTCCGAGGGCCCAAAAACCCTAAAACCAACAATTATTATTATTATTATTATTATTATTATTATTATTATTATTATTATTATTATTATTATTATTATTATTATTATATAGCATTCGGTTCGCGCGGTTCAGTTTTTGTCAAATCGTTCAGTTTCGGTTCGGTTCGGTACTAAACTGTTCGGGTTACAAAATTCCGAACCGTTCGGTTTTCTGTTACTAGTTCGGTTCGATTCGATTTGGTTCGAATAAACCGAACCGAAATGTCCACCCCTAAGATTAATCTTCTGGTTAGAGGGATACCTTTGGGCAACAAAAAATAATGAAAATAGTATAATTTGTCACTTTTGTTATGCTTGAAAGCTTGCAAAATACTTTTCAAATGTTTGAAATTTACGTGGAATTAGAAAACAAGATTGGGCAATTTTTGTTGGAATTCACAAACTCAAATTTCATACGGCCCGTGCCCCTTACAATACGCATCCCTTCAAAGGGGGCAGATAATGTTCCACCTTCCAAACTTGTGGTAAATCATTACACCATGAACCATTGTCTATCTTACAAAATGGATCATTGACATAATATTTATTATTAATAGAGTTTTACTGTATGTATTTCAAAATTTTACTCCTTAAAATTTTTTTGATGTGATAGATATCGATAATCTATTTTTTTTATGTGGGTCCTGTAAATGTGTCTACATCAAAATTTTAAGTGTGAGAGCAAAACTTTGAATAGAGAATGAGGGTACTATACATATAGTATTTTCCTTATTAATATATTAAAAGTTTATTTAACTTTTAGTACATTAAATGTTATTTTTTGTGTATCGAAGATTCCTTTTCAGATATATTATTACCAAAAAATAAATTTGTAGTACATCTCTTTCAAAAAAAAATAAAATAAATTTGCAGTACATTAAAAAAAAAAAGAATATTTACCCACGATCCATATTACAATGTGAATTATGATGCATACTTGCATAGTATAACTTATTTGTCACTTTTGGTAAGGTGGGGCTGAATGCTTGAAAGCTTGCAAAATAGTTTTAAATGTTTGAAATTTAAGTGGAATTAAAGACGCGTATAGTAGTATTGACTTGGTCTTGTAATTTCTGAACCCTAACCCCACAAAGAATTTGGAAGGATGTAAATCATGGTAACTCAACTGAATATGAACCACAGAGGCTAGATCTTTGCTCACTCTGTACAAGGAAGCCCCCTTCACTTTGAGAGGTTGTGGACATTCTTTCAAACTTTCACCTCTATAACCAGTTGAGCTGCCCATGCGGGTTTTTGATCAAATTCATAAATACAACTAACCGTGTAATTATGGCATGTATTTTGTACTCAAATTTGAATTACACTTCCTTCTTTCCAAAGATCGAATCTCCAATTCCAAGGACCCCACACTCCGACTTGACAGAGCATCTTGGAGAGTGAGGAGCACTTAATTTATTGATATTTAAGTTGTGCAGTTTCCATTACTTTCAGCCATCTCAAACTGAAAGCCGATAATGGGTCTGTTGAGGAGGAGGAGCTTCCTCATTGCTGCATTATTTCTTCTTTGCTTCACTTCATCCAACGTTGTTCTTTCCCAAGATCCTCATCAAGCAGGTATATATATACTCTCACTCTCTCAGGCAAGATCAGAGCTGAGAACAAACATTAGTACACACAATTTATTTATTTATAAAATCCATACAAATGTATGTAGTATATGCTGCATCCATCTTCATATCAAAATTAAGTTTGTGAGCAGCAAGTATATATTGCGAGCGAGCTGAGGTTTTTTGTATTTTTAATCAATCTGTTTCCGGCCCGGCGGCCTCGCTCTCAGGTTTTATAACATTGAATTGTGGAGGCGAAAACTTTACGGACGACACTACAGGCTTACGTTATACATCGGATGCGAGCTTCATCGGCGACAACAACAACGCCGTACGCAACACTGTGTCGTCTCAATATTTCAAGGACCGTGGTGTGGAATCTGTGCATACACAATGGAAAAGTCTCACAAGTTTTCCTAAAGGGATTAGGAACTGTTACACCCTGCGGCCTACTCAAGGGAAGCTGAATAAGTACCTGATAAGGGCTAGATTCGTGTATGGAAACTACGATGGCAATGCGGACAAACAACTCCCACAATTCGACCTCCACCTTGGGGTCCAGTCCTGGGACACCGTCGTATTCGATCCCAAAGACGATCCTAGTATTGTGGACAAGGAGATCATACATACTCCTTCCTCGGACCTCATACATGTGTGCCTTGTCAACACCGGCCTCGGTACGCCCTTCATCTCCGTCCTCGAGCTACGCCCTCTCAAAATTTCTATGTATCCTGATGTCTCCGCTGGATGGTCCATGATGATGAAAAAACAGCGCTTTGATATCGGCTCCACCTCCCCACTTCTCAGGTAGGATTCCTCACATTTCAAGTCATCAGAATTATTGATGATCCTAACTTACATTGTATGACATTGCCAGCATATATTTAATTTGTTTTTAGGTACAAGGACGATGTTTTTGACCGCATCTGGTATCCAAATTCACTTATCATGGATACTATTCCTACTACACTAGTAAACACTTCATCAACCGACAACTTAGAAACAAACGATGGCTTCTTCAACGTGCCGCCGGTGGTGATAAGCACTGCCGTCGTGCCGTCAGATCCAACCCAGCCGTTGACGATCAGTTGGTCTACAGACAATCCCTCGGATAAGTTCTACGTGTGCATGTCCTTTGCTGAAATCCAACAACTTAAGCCCAACCAAACCCGAGAATTCAGTGTCTACCTTAATGGCGACTTATTCATTAGTAGCCCTGTTGTCCCACCTTATATGTCCATTATTACGTTGTACACAAATGCCTCACTAACCAATAGTACTCACTACAATTTTTCCCTCAAGAAGACCAAAAACTCAACGCTTCCTCCCATCATCAACGCCCTTGAGATTTATTATTTGAAACAATTCAATGAACCACAAACCGACGACAATGACGGTACGTATAGTAGTACTCCATTTTTTTTATGTATTTAATTTTACGTGTTATGATCTGATCTGATCTTATCTAATTTAATGCGCGCTTTTAATTTGGTCACGTACATTTTAATTTGTGTTTTTGCATAATTAACTTCTTCGATATGATCATATCAGTTGCGGCAATGTTTGGCATCAAGTCAGATTATGGCGTGACCAATAAGAATTGGCAAGGAGATCCTTGTTCACCTGTGTCTTATTCATGGGATGGTCTCAAATGTAACCACACAGCCTCAAATCCCCCCAGAATTACATCCATGTATGTATATACTGTTTTTTTTACCCTTAATTACTTTGATAATTCATTCTACCCAATACAAGTTTAATCAAGTAATTATGCCCAGTGCAACTAAATAACTTTAAATTAAAGTTAATTGGCTAACTTATTATAATAAACTCATAGCTTGCTTGATGAGCTTAGCGCGCTCCACACAAGTTTTGGGTTATTTGAGTTTTCCATGACACACAGTCACAAATACAAGGATTGTTTTGTAAACATATAATATAATAAACAAAACTCAATTAGATTACGATATAATAATAATAATAATAATTATTATTATTATTATTATTATTATTAAAATTGTGTTCTTTAATTTGTGTTTAGGAATTTGTCCGCAAGTGGATTAACAGGGTCAATATCTCCTCACATATCCAACCTTACAATGATACAACTACTGTAAGTACTGTACATATATGCATGCGCAATAATTGCTTCAGTTTTTAATTAATTGAAGAACATGCATCCTGAAATTAATTATACTTTATTTTATATTTTTATTTCAGAGATCTATCCAGCAATAAGTTGACTGGACTTATACCTGATTTTCTAGGCTAACTGCCTTCACTCAGTGTTCTGTGAGTAAATTAGAAACCTTTAACAATGTATTATTTTTATTGTGAACAAAGAAAATGTCCTCTAATAATCTGCTTGAACACTCCACTGAAAGACCTTGGAACTCGAGTCGCTAACAGCATGCAAATTGACAAATAGTGATGATATTTTGAGTTATTTTCTGGAATTAAATTGCAGAAATTTAAGTGGAAACAACTTCTCAGGGCCTGTCCCGGAAAATCTGCTTCAGAAATCAAAAGAAGGAAACTTAGCATTGAGGTTAAATCTGTTTTTTTTTTTTTTAAATAATTTTTAGACGAGCAGCCATCTAATACATTCTTGTCTGTTCTGTCAGCATTGAGAATGTGGGCTCCAACACGAATATCTGTCAGAATGGTTCCTGCGACAACAACAAGAAGAAGAAAAACATTGTTGTTCCAGTGTTAGTGTCTGTGGCTTCTGCACTACTACTAGTGCTAGCAATATTCGTAATCCTATCGGTGATTAAAAAGAGAAAACAAAGAGGTATAGTACTCACATATTTAATGTATATATAATCTTTTACGTACTTTATCTTTCAAAGTTTAATATAGATAATAGAATTTTCTAACAAAGTTTGGTGCATATTTATGTGGTATCAGAACCAAAACTGGGTAGTGTTGAGTCAAAGAAAAATGATGATTTACAAACCAAGAATCACCGATATAGCTCCGCAGAGATCATAGATATTACAAACAATTTTGCTAAAGAACTTGGTAGAGGCGGGTTTGGAACGGTTTATCATGGCAGTATAGATGGCACCCAAGTTGCAGTCAAAATGCTGTCATCAACATCAGGCCAAGGCTTCAAGGAGTTTCAATCTGAAGTTCGTATTATGAATAAAAATTAAACATGAATTTATAAACATGAATTTATTATTTAATGTAGTACATATGTATCATTGTCATTTTGTAATTTATTTTACAGGCTAACGTTCTAATGAATGTTCATCATAAAAACTTGACCTCGCTTGTCGGGTACTGCATTGAGGGAACAAACATTGGGATCATCTATGAATTCATGGCCAATGGAAACTTACACCAGAATCTCTCAGTCTCAGGTATCATCATTTAGTAGTTAATTAGTAGCGAAGTTATGACTTTATTTTTTTATATCGTTACATTTTCAAGAGGCAAGTTTTGGGAAATGAATAATGGAATTAAGAAGGTTAATGATGAAGATAAACTGACTGCATTATTTGGGAAATGAAAGGGTGCTAGATTTAGCTCCGACCCCAAGCACCTGCTAGTCTTAGATGCATGGTTTCGGAAACTATAGCTAGCAAGGAAATCATAACTTTATTTTCTTCTATCACCCCGTTTTCGAAAGGTAGACCGGGTGCTAAACTTGATCCTTCAAGCTTCTGCTCAATAATCCTCTAACCAACTGGTGTTTGGACTTGACCCTTCACGGGTCTCCGCCCAACAATTGCTTTATTAGTGTAAGATTCTAAGTTGATCATTTTTCATGGTCGCAGCCGGAAACCATAACGTCTTAAGCTTCCGGGACAGGCTCCAAATTGCTGTAGATTCTGCCCAAGGTTAGTATATACTCCCTCCGTATTACATTCAATTGAAGTTCTTGGACTAGTGGACTTACTCTAATTTGGGGTATGGTTGAAATGCATAGGGTTAGAGTATCTTCACCATGGCTGCAAGCCTCCAATAATTCATAGAGACATCAAGCCTACAAATATTTTGCTTAATGAAAAGTTCCAAGGAAAACTAGCTGATTTTGGATTATCGCGAGTTTTTCCAAATGAAAATGGCACCCATATCTCAACAATTATTGCTGGCACTATGGGATACATAGATCCCGAATATTACATATCAAGTAGGTTGACTGAAAAGAGCGATGTGTTTAGTTTTGGAGTGGTTATTTTGGAAGTAATCACAGGCCAGCCTGCAATAATTGGGAAACCCCCTAACCATGCTCACATTAGTCGTTGGGTCACCTCCACGCTCAAGAATGGAGACATCAGGGACGTTGTTGATCCCAGGTTAATTGGCGAGTTTGACGTTAATTCAGCTTGGAAAGTTGTGGAGCTAGCAATGGCTTGTGTGTCTCAGGATTCCGACAAAAGACCCACCATGAACGAGGTTGTGAGTGAGTTGAAGGATTGCTTGTCAACGGAGATGGCTAGACATGGCGGCACAACTTCACGAAGGTCCATCAATACTTTGCCTGCTGCAACTATTGACTTAGAATTTGGGCCCATGGCAAGGTAGTGCAATCGTTATGCGTTGGACCCGTGTCCAGCATGCTTGCTGGACACGGGTAACAGTGCCGTTAGGCACTGTTATCTCCTTTTTTTTTTTTTTTTTTTTTTTTTTAATTTCAGACCGCTTCATTGTAATAGTATATGTTCATAATTTTATTACTATATGTTAATAACTATACATTCATAACTCTATAACTGTACGTTCATAACTCTATAACTGTACATTCATAACTCCATAACTGTACATTCATAACTCCATAACTGTATATTCATAACTCCATAATTGTACATTCATAATTTTCGAAGCTCTATGTTCACAATTTTAGAGCTCTATGTTCATAATTTTATCACTATATGTTCATAATTGTAAGTTCATAATGTTAGAGCTCTTTGTTCATAATTCGATCAATAACTGTACATTCATAATTCCATACTGTAGATTCATATTCTCATAACTGTAGATTCATAACTCCATAAC